GAATTTTAACCAATTCCCCGAGGATGCTGATGCTGCTGGCCCTGGGCCCACACTGTGAGACCCGCCGGCCTGGAGACAAATGGGTGACCTGTCTGTGTTTTATGGCTGCAGGGAGAGTCGGGCCAAACTTAGGGGCCAATTGTCGGTCAGCTCCCTGACTGACCTTTTCAGTTGTCACAGTATTGCTATTACTGTTCAAGGACCAAATTATTTTTAGGAAATTCCTATAAGGTCTAAATATTTCTAGGATTTTGGTCGTAAGGATTCCACATTCTATAATAGGAATCTTAAGCACTTCATTGCCAAGATCTCACGCGTACATCCGAAGTCAAACAAGTGAACACAGACAGAAATACGTGTATCAGCCACCAAGATGCAGACTTCACGGGAAGCAGGAAAATCACTAACAGTTACAACACTCCATCAAAATTGACAACGCCCAAATGTAAGCCATTTTATGTGAATCTCAATCTATTTATAAGTAGACACTAAGGAATGCACATGTAAAGAGTTGTAGATTCTTCCAGGAAAAAAATATAGCTACACTCAGACACATACACACAAATTTACCAATCCAAGTGAAATTCTGGAGAGGTGAAGAACTTCAGGACTATGTGCTGTCTGAGTAAAGAACATAGGTTCACCACCATTCTCAGGGGCCTTAATTGCATATTTAAAAGCTTCACGTAATTTCTGAAATAAGAAAAGATAATTAAGGTGCAGGATAATTAGGGGTATGAACATCAGGTTACATCCCTGTTCTGGCCCAGACCATTCACCCTCTAACAAAGGGAAACGCCGAATCACGCTAAGAGCTCCAATCTCCAGTACTGCAGAGAGAAAAGGTGCCATATTAAGGTTCAAACGCAGAACTTCTCTCCAGTTTGGGGCAAGGCTGCCTATTTTCAAAGTCCAAGAAAAGACAGGATCCTATGCAGCAAACACACATTTTTATTCTTTGAAAAAAGGGCTTAACCTTGTTGTTTGTAGCCTGAAAAACCATAGTTGGAATCTACCCATCTTCCACCTCAATGAGTATCCGTTGCGCTTTATCTGACTTGATGGGAAGAGTGTGCCTTAAGGTCTGAGAGAGCTGGTTCTGGTTTTGGCAGCCACTAGCCACCAGCAGTCTGACCTTGAGGAAGTCACAACACATCTGGAAATTAATCCCTTTACATGTAAATTTAGAAGTTAATCTTTTTCAAGCTGCATGCAAGATTGTATTTTTTTTTTTATCAATAAAGTGTGAACAGCTAGGATCCAAGAAAATCAGATATATTGTGTTTTCTGCTACTATTCAAAGAGATTCCTGTCTTAAAGCAAGTGGTAGTGCCAATGCAAATTTAAGTAGTTAAATAAAATGTTGCAATCAAATTATTTTTGCCAGTTGTACAGATGGCTGACACTCCTATTCGTCTTTGGTTTAGGAGGTGTGCAGGAGGCGAGACGAGAACGACATGTGCACAGCAAATGTGGGGTGGGGTGGGGCATAGACACTGTCTGGTCACCTGGACTGGACTGGACTGGCTGAACACCGGCCCACGACGGGACCCCATCATGTAGGAGATGAAGACACATCGGGTGGAGTCGAGGGAAGAAGTGAAGCTTCTCTGGGCTTCTCAACAGGGCAGTGACGGACCCAAGACTTCCCTGTGTCTGTGTCTCCCTTCCCGTGTTGGAGGGTGCGGATTCAACTCTTGGCTCCCCACAGTGTCATGGTTTTAACTTTGCCAGTCCGGGACCAAATGAAGAAATTGATCTACTTTCATTTTTACATAAAACCCAGACATCAATTCTCTCTTTAAGAAAACCGGAGTCTCATGTTTGGGAACTTTTGTGATGCTTTCCCGGTGAGCTCTGCCTTCATACATGGGGGCCGGGGCCAACCTCTGGATGCGAACCCCACTCCCTGAGGTCTTAGCTCTGTAAATAAGCTGATGTCTGTCCTCAGGCCCCCAGACTATTCCAAATTCCCAAGGCCACGGGGTGTTAAAGTTGTCCTCTCATCCCCTTGGTATGCACAGTAAAATGACATCATGTTTGTTCTTCAAGCACTTAGAACTAGTTGCCCTTTCCTTTATCCGTGTGCCATCCCCTTAGCCCTAAGGCACCTTATATACGGGTGTGAGATGAAATATGCTGGTTGAAATGTGGCTCTGTGCCACTGTGCCCACTAAGCTGCAGAGATGCCCCCTCTGGTCAGTCCTGGTAGCTTTTGCCCTCAGCTAACTATTTCTCTTCCAAGCTGTGCTGCTTAAAAGTTCATTAACTCCTCACTGGGGAAGGCACTATTTTTGTGCTCAATCTCCCATCAGAGTTTCTGTTGGAATTTCCTTCGGAAGATCGAGAAAGTGAAAGGGACCAGAATTAGCTGCCTCATCCCTGAGAAAATTCTTGGCTGATCTCTGGAATTGAAGTAAGGAGAGCTGACAGATCGTAGATCTTTCACTTTCTGGAAAGAACAGCAGTGAGGATTTCGATATGAGCTTTGTTGTAGCAATGAGTCTTATTTCTGTACCCTTGGTCCCTTGTGTATGGGTATATAATTATCTTTGTGACAGTTTTATCAAAGCACCAGAGCAAGATGGTTCCCAACACCCACTCGCACTTTCACTCCATTTGGAGCAGTCACTGCACCCAATTCACAAGCAATCGAATGGCCCAAGTTCCAACAAAGTGGGTCTCAGACAGACAGATGAGGACAGATTATGTCTACTCACTACCTCATTCCTCGTTGGGCATCCCCTGAGCCTAGATGCACACACAGCCTCATCCTTTTCAGTCTCCTCATGAAATGAGAGCCAATTTGAAGGGAAGATCTCTGTGTTGTCCTGTTTGGGCATAGTGCCACATCAAGCTTTGCAAGCCATCCTGGCAACGCTGAGAACGATCGCAAGCTTCTCCCCAGCTAGTGCTCACGTGATGGCTCTGCTGTCAGACCTGTACCTGCCGATCGGTGGGGGAGCAGGAGTAAATGATCGACTTTAAACAAGTTTAAATAGATAGAAACAGGGGAGGGAGGCAGAGCCAATGGGACTCGGAGCTAACGGGTGGGACTGGCTCTGACGTGACCTTGCTCTGACATGAAGCTGTTGTGCGAGCACTGGCTGTTCTTTTGACCTCCCTGTCATTGAGGCCATTGGTCTCTAACGTGGAGATCCTAATGCTTGGCTTGTCCATCTTGCAGGGCTGCTGTGAGGAGGGCCCAGGACTGTGGGTGTGAAAGCTGTGAAATGTTTAACGTGTTGTAACTGTGAAAAGAGTGATGGTTGCTTAGAATGCTTGGGTGTAACCCTCTGTCAGAGAATCCAGCCCAATGCTTCGATCCAATTTCAGACCTTTAGGCCGAAGCTTTCAAAATCAGCGCACACTTATAGTGTTATGTGCCAACTAAACTACTATAGGTGTTTGAACGACTGCATTCCTTTTCAATTTCCATTTTCAACAGCTCAGTTCCTTGCAATTTCATGGTTCTGAACTCAGAATATGAGCCAAAACCCATTAAAAAACTAGGCTCACTGATTTATACCGTTAGGCGAAACAGAGGAGAGCCTCTGGGTCTCGGGCATGAGGCCAAGCATTGGGTCATCCCGAATGAAAGAATAATAGGTTGAGAAACCATCACTTAGAGTAGGTAAATTGTAAAAAGATAATGTGATAAATTTGCAATTTTGACTGAGGAGTCAGGCCCTAAGTGATGCAGGTTGCTGAGTAAGTTGTGTAGCTTGTCGTCGCCACTTGTGGGGTCTTTTATTTGTTCTCTTGAGTGTGGGTGAAGGCTTGTGACAGGTCTGTGGATACAGAAGTGCGTGTTGTTCTTCACAACTGACACAGCAAAGTGTGTGGGCCAGTCTCCCCTTGAGTGTTCGGCTGACCTCATAAGGCCGTGCTGCAGGCTTCGGTCCTTGGCCGGCTGCTTCTGATCATTCTTCACGGGCTTTGCTGAGGGTCCTGTGCCTGACGCAGTGACTGGAAATGGACAGAATGTCCACCTGTGGCTCTGGCTGGATAGAGCTCTTAGCTTCTCCACTGGTCTCAACAGGCGATGACAGAGCCGCATGGAGATACCCGTCCTTCCAAATGTTTCCATAGTCTTCTTCCTGCTGCTCCCTTCTGTGTGTTGCCATCTGCTATCACCACAGCTGATGCAAGCTGGCTGAACACTGGTGCTGGAGGCAGAGCCCCATCAAAGCCCTTGGCATAAACTGCAGAAACTGTGAAGAGCAGAGAATGTTGAGGGCATATACCCAGTGTCCCCAGTCACATGGGCATGTGAGGTCTGCGTGTAGATTTAGAGAGGACCTAACCTGCTTTCCAGCTTGCACAAGGAAGCACCAAGATATGGACAGAAAAACTGGATTTCAGACCACACATTCGCAGACGTGCCTTTCATAAAGGCAGAATCCAGTCTCTCATCTCAACTTCTTTCAGGGTCAAAAAGCATTGTGTTTAATCTCAATAAAATTCCACGTCATTAAGGAGTTGCCTGGCAGGTACATTCGTGGATTCCCTGAGCATCATCCATGAATTTGGTCCTTTGTGCCTTTGAGCGCACTGCTTCCTCTTCTTGAGACGTGTTTTGCTCAATCTGCCACATGTAAAATTCTTACCTGTTATTTGGAAAACTACTAAAACCCCCCTCAGTTACTGCAGTCTCCCCTAACAGGAACTCCTACAGGGGTTTCCCTGGTGAATTGGAAATAATTTGCAAAACACTCAGCTTTTCAACAAATCTTCTTCTAGAGAACTTTCATTTTCTCCCTTCTTTGTGTTATTTACCTAGGAGGCCAACTCCTGGGTCAATTCATCTTCTACCCTCCAGGGGCATTGGGCACACTACTTAGCATACAATAGGTGTCAATTAGTGTATGCTAAAAAGAGAATGACTCTCCTAACTTTGCAGACCCATAAATGGAAATTGGAGAGTGTTGGGTGCAGTCTTCATTTGCGGCCTCATCCAATTCTTTTTTTCTGCATCTCCATAACAGCTGGGGAAGATTATGGGAAGAGACAATGACAGCTACCAACAGGCATTCATCCTGGTGGGCTTTTCTGATCGGCCTCGACTGGAGATAATTCTCTTTGCTTTTATCCTGGTCTTTTACATCCTGGCCCTGCTGGGCAACACTGCCATCATCCTCTTGTCGATCGTGGACACCAGGCTCCACACACCCATGTACTTCTTTCTAGGGAACCTGTCATTCTTGGACCTCTGCTTTACGACGAGCATTGTCCCCCAGCTGCTGTGGAACCTTTGGGGTCCAGAGAAGACCATCACCTACCATGGCTGTGTGGCCCAACTCTATATCTACATGGTGTTGGGCTCGACTGAGTGTGTTCTCCTGGCTGCCATGTCCTATGACCGCTATGTGGCCGTCTGCCGGCCCCTGCATTACACTGTGGTCATGCACCCACATCTCTGCCTGAAGTTGGTGGCTGTGGCTTGGTGTTGTGGCTTTCTAAACTCCTTTGTCATGTGTCCCCAGACAATGCAACTCTCTCGATGTGGGCGTCGCAGGGTGGACCACTTTTTGTGTGAGATGCCTGCTTTGATTGCCATGTCTTGTGAAGACACCATGCTGGTAGAAGCGTTTGCCTTTGCCCTGGGGGTCGCCCTTCTCCTGCTGCCCCTCTCCTTGATCCTTTTCTCCTATGGTGTGATTGCTGCCACTGTGCTGAGGATCAAGTCAGCAGCAGGGCGCAAGAAGGCTCTCAGCACCTGCTCTTCTCACCTGACGGTCGTCTCCCTCTTCTATGGAACCATCATCTACATGTACCTGCAGCCAGCCAACAGCTACTCCCAGGATCAGGGCAAGTTCCTCACCCTCTTCTATACCATCGGCGCCCCCAGTGCCAATCCCCTCATCTATACCCTGAGGAACAAGGATGTGAAGGGGGCAATGAAGAAGCTCGTGGGAGGGAGGAAGGGGCTGGGGAAGCCTGAGTGAGAGGAATGCTGGGGTGATAGATGGTACTCTGCAGACACTCCCGGAGACATGTCTATAACCATGGGGAGAGCTAATATTCAAAGACTGGAGTGAACGTAGATCGGCACAATGCTCTTGAGATTGACCCTGTCCTCTGCTCTCTGGATGTGAAGCGGCTTCCTTCTGCTTAAAGGTGTCTGCTTTAGGAGATCTCTACTGTACTTGCATTTCCTCCATCTTTGGGCTTTAGTCACAACTGCAGGGGCCCTATAGATCTAATTCAAAGCACACATTCTGCAGATTATGTCATGAAATGTCAAATAAAAATGAGACAGCATGAGTGGCCTCCTCTTGAAGCCCCTTTATTTATGACTGCAGTGGTTTTTCAGAGAGGGGCGAGTCACCATCAGTAAAATCAGTCCTGTCCCAGACATAGGTTGATTCTCCGTGACTGAGGAGTGTTCTTTGATTTGCTTTTTGAAAGGAAGGAAGAGTTTGTTAGAGTTGTCTGCACCTTTTCCTTGACTTTCTCTCATAGCCAAAGCATTTACAAGATAGTTGACTGGAGTTAGAGTCCAAATGAAACACATCAGAATAGAATGAATCACTTTGGTCTCCTTAGCAGGTTACTTTAATTAGCTATGTGTGTTCCTCTTTAAAGACAGCTGTGCTATATTCAGATTAATTACCACTCCCTCCAAAAAAAAAAAAAAAAAACTTTGATGGGCAAAGTGATTGGAATTGGAAGTTACTAAGAGCAGTCCTTCCAAAACTTGGTTTTGCATCAGAACTCTTGAGATAGGAATTTCCAAGAACTCTTTAGACTTCTTGCATCAAAAACTCCAGGTGTGGAGTCCAGGCATCTCTGTTTTTAAAAACTCCTCTAGGGGCTGGCTCCGTGGCCGAGTGGTTAAGTTTGCGCGCTCCGCTGCGGCGGCCCAGGGTTCGGATCCTGGGTGCGGACATGGCACCGCTCGTCAGGCCACGTTGAGGGGGCGTCCCACACCCCACAACTAGAAGGACCTGCAACTAAGATATACAACTATGTACGGGGGGTTTGGGAAGATAAAGCAGGAAAAAAAATTAAAAAAAAAAAAAGAAGAAGATTGGCAACAGTTGTTAGCTCAGGTGCCAATCTTTAAAAAAAATTTTTTAATAAAAACTCCTCTAGATATCACTGATGACAGATTTGGAAATAATTGTTTTAGAGACAATTTAAATCCAACTCTTTGCACCAACCAGGAATCTCCTAGAGCATTCTGAGTGTACAGCCACCTTTCTGGGCGTGAGCAGCACTGCGAACCAGGCAGGGAGACGTTATCACCCACATCTGGGTTTGGAATTGATTTGTCCTCTCTCTGGGTATCTCTCGGAGTCTAGCACTTTTCATGTGTATTATTGGGCTAAGAGTCTTCTTTTTGTGAGGTTGTAGTAGACGTTACATACAGTGAGATGTGTCAAGTGTGAGGCAAGTGGTCTCTCGACAACATTTGCCTTTCTTTCCATGATCCACAGCCACTGGCAATCTATTCCTTTTGAAATAGATTCAATTTTGTTATTTAGATCTTGTTTTAGTAAAAATCGTGTTTAGCATTTTCCCACTCAAATCTGCAAGGTGAAAAACTCCTTCTCCCAGATATGGGAACTTGCTTCTTCAATATGAGGTAAGTAGGGTCCCTCATGAACTCTCCGAGGACTCTGCTGCACACTTTAGCACCGCAGCATAAGTGTGGGGTGGGGTAGGGGGGCAGGTGAAGACCCGGGTCTGCGTGCTGATTCTACACTGTTAGTAGACAGCACAAGTTCAGCTATGGGGATTACGGGGGAGTGGGTCACAGACTACGACAGAGGCTAAATCTGTAATAACAAGATATCAACCTGGAAATGGGAAAATTATTTCAAAGTCAACTAGGTGCTTTGGAGATGTTAAGAATAAAGTGAAATTAATTTGTTTCTCTCATCTTCCTGTATTATGAAGATGATCACAAGACCACATAGGGAAGGTAGATATTTTTTACTCCATTTGCAAATGATGTGATGAAATGAAGGGAGGCTGAGGGGTTGCTCATTCTTACGAGGGAAGTGAACACCCAAGACAGAGCTCAGTGTCTGTCAGACGTTTCCCATTTCCCACTGAGTTTTCCATTTCATCAGCTGCCTCTTGTGAATTCAGGCTGTATGCAGTTAAAATGTGGACTATCTAGTAGCCCAATGTGGCCTTCCTATTTTATTAAAAAAAGACCATTTAAGTTTCCTTTTAAGCTCAAGAAATCACCCACAGACATCATCTGGGAAATAAAAGACTGAAGGAATTCTGTCTGTTGTTCCAAATGCCAGTCCTTTTCTCTATCCTGCTTCTCCTTGTTGCGTCTCTGTGATGTGACAATCACAGACAAAGCATCCACACACGTATAATAAGGGTATTTCCTGCTGATCTGGAGTAGAGTGCTGGCCAGAGAGGGGACGTCATTTCCCAAGTGGTTCTGCTCTTTCACTGAAAACCTCCTACAGCCATGCTATTTCCGCAATAAAATTTCCAATAGGCCAACATGATAAGTATTTATCAAACACACATATATCCTGGAAATTCTAAGGAAATCAAAGAAACTGACCTGGCCGGGGGTGGGGTGCCTGCCCATTCATACCTCCCTAAGTACGCCCATTTTTCCTAGCACTGACACTGCGACAGTGGACAAATTTTGCTCCAACAAAACCTCACCCTTGTATATACTTAATGGTGAACAGGAGTTTCAGGAGATGGAGTGAGGAGTCAACCAACCAGTCAATGAACCGGCCAGTGACCTCTGTACCAAGTCTCTTTTAGGGGTTTAGGAAACTGACTTGGAGATGCTCCCCAAAACTTCATCAGTTGAAAAGAAATTGGAATCAAGTACTTTATAATAAAATACAACAGAAAGTAAAGTGAGGAAGAGAAGACATGGAATAGTGATAAAAGATCTGGCCAGAGACTTGAGTTAGAACAGCTGGAAGTTATAGAATTCTGATGATCTGCAAAAATATTTGAAAGGAGCAAAAAAAAAATAATGGCAAATGGGAACAGATATTTCACCCTGGGAAATATGGCAGCACAGGCGGAGTAAGATTGACTGTAAATGGTCTTAAATCACGGCAACAAAGATTTCACGTGAAAAGAACGCTAGTAAGGTCAAATTTCCCCGGAGGACTGTTCACCTGGGACCGGCAGATGCAGCCCACTTTGAGGTTTGCACTGGAATGTGCGCGACCTAAGGGCTGAGCTCCTACCTTGCAGAATCCCTCTTTGGGCCTCCATGGTGCCCCCTGGTTGCGCAGGCTCAGAGACGCAGACTCACTTTAACCAACTTCGTCAGAGCCTGCATATTAGAGCAGGATGGCAATGTGCTAACTTCACGATGAGAGAAAACTGTCTTTCCATGGTACCATTCCTTCTTGCCAATGAACAGTAGATTTTACTCCTGTTGGGAAGCTACATGGGGAAGCAAACGATCAGAAAGTGGCTTGGTCAACGTGTAAAGCAAATAAAGGGAATTTGATTTAAAATGAAGATTTGATAGTATCAATCTCTGCTAATACACAATATCTAACTCTCAACTAGTGTTTACCATGTGCCAGGCACTCACAAACATTTTGCCTTATATAACCCACTTAGATCCTTAAAAGCACCCTGAGAAGAGAGGTAGGTGCAGAGAGGTCTGTAACTCCGCACAGGTCACACAGCTCATAAAATGCTGGAGTCAGGGACTGATCCCAGCGTATCTGGCTCCACAGTCCATGCCTGTGGCCCTTGGTACATCCTGCTTTACTCGCAGCTCTGAACAAAGGACAAATACAGTCCAAGTTTAGTACGAGGAACTCCCAGCTAGCAGCCTCTTACAGATGTGATGGGGCTTGAAAAATGAGCTGAGCTTAACCATCTGATTATTTTCTCACAAACTGAGAATTGAGAATGAGAGGAACTAAGACAGCAGCAAGTAAGACCTGAAGCAGACACATCATCATGCAGAAGAAGGCCAGGCAGAGATCAGAGAGGGGTTGTTTGGAGGGGACATGTGTAAGGTACTGTGGTCCTTGGGTAAAGGAGCCAGAGGGAGAGGCAAGGAGACTGCCAGTAGGGAGGGAGACAGGAGAAGGGCACCTGACGTGGGAAGGACCATGGGTCTTGCTGCGAGATCCTTTTCTCCTGGAGAGCCCAGGTGGTGCTCTGGTCTCTGCCTCAAATTCCCGTGGGATCACTCATCTGCTTTACAGCAACATCCACCTTCTTTCACATGAGGTGGCTTGAGTTGGTCTTTCCTGCTTTTACTTAAAAACAAATAAAGGTTCAAACATCTTTCCCTACTAAAGAGAGCTTGAATGGGCAGGATCAGTCTTCCACCACGATTCTCCTTTCAGTTTTTTGGTAGAGCAATCTTTTCTTTAGCTCTTCAAATCCTGTCAGTCAAGCCAAGAAAATATTTCTTTGGCAGCTGTCCCTCTATGATGAATTTTTTACCCCCTTTTCTTATTCATTCTTTCACAGTTTAACATTTGGAAGACAGTAACAGGTAGAATTTACTGAATATTGACTATGGCGCTCTGCTAAGACTTTACATATTTTATCTCAGTTAATCTTTACGAAAACTCTGAGAAGCAAACACTATTACTGTTCCCCAGATAAGAAAACTGAGTCTAAAAGGGTCATCATGAGAGTCTTAATTGGGGGCTGAATTCCTGTTTCCTGGATGTCGTCAATCTATTGTGAGTCAGACCCAGCGACTGAAGGCCAAGAGCCGGCGATGTGAGAACTGAAGCAGGTTAGTGAGGCAAAGGCGTGCCCATTGATAGATGCCCCCCGGCCCCCCAATTCTTAACTTCTCAGACTGAAATAACCAAACAGCCTTATCTCGTCTATCCATTCTGAAGTCATTCACTTAAGAAAACTTTGAGCCTGGGGAAACCAGGTGAGGCCGCCATGGTGCCCAGGAGGTTAAGGCCCGTCTCTGCAGGCTGAGGCCACACCACTCTCTCCTAGGGCAGGAGGC